GTGATTATATATATATATATATATTTTATCACACTTTTCAATTAAGTGTGATTATAGATATACATTTTTTAATCACACTTTTTAATTAACACGTGATATATTTATTTTTTATATCACTTTTCCATTAAGTGTGATTATATATATATATATATATTTTATCACACTTTTCAATTAAGTGTGATTATAGATATACATTTTTTAATCACACTTTTTAATTAACACGTGATATATTTATTTTTTATATCACTTTTCCATTAAGTGTGATTATATATATATATATATATTTTATCACACTTTTCAATTAAGTGTGATTATAGATATACATTTTTTAATCACACTTTTTAATTAACACGTGATATATTTATTTTTTATATCACTTTTCCATTAAGTGTGATTATATATATATATATATATTTTATCACACTTTTCAATTAAGTGTGATTATAGATATACATTTTTTAATCACACTTTTTAATTAACACGTGATATATTTATTTTTTATATCACTTTTCCATTAAGTGTGATTATATATATATATATATATTTTATCACACTTTTCAATTAAGTGTGATTATAGATATACATTTTTTAATCACACTTTTTAATTAACACGTGATATATTTATTTTTTATATCACTTTTCCATTAAGTGTGATTATATATATATATATATATTTTATCACACTTTTCAATTAAGTGTGATTATAGATATACATTTTTTAATCACACTTTTTAATTAACACGTGATATATTTATTTTTTATATCACTTTTCCATTAAGTGTGATTATATATATATATATATATTTTATCACACTTTTCAATTAAGTGTGATTATAGATATACATTTTTTAATCACACTTTTTAATTAACACGTGATATATTTATTTTTTATATCACTTTTCCATTAAGTGTGATTATATATATATATATATATTTTATCACACTTTTCAATTAAGTGTGATTATAGATATACATTTTTTAATCACACTTTTTAATTAACACGTGATATATTTATTTTTTATATCACTTTTCCATTAAGTGTGATTATATATATATATATATATTTTATCACACTTTTCAATTAAGTGTGATTATAGATATACATTTTTTAATCACACTTTTTAATTAACACGTGATATATTTATTTTTTATATCACTTTTCCATTAAGTGTGATTATATATATATATATATATTTTATCACACTTTTCAATTAAGTGTGATTATAGATATACATTTTTTAATCACACTTTTTAATTAACACGTGATATATTTATTTTTTATATCACTTTTCCATTAAGTGTGATTATATATATATATATATATTTTATCACACTTTTCAATTAAGTGTGATTATAGATATACATTTTTTAATCACACTTTTTAATTAACACGTGATATATTTATTTTTTATATCACTTTTCCATTAAGTGTGATTATATATATATATTTTTTATCACACTTTTCAATTAAATGTGATTATATATATACATTTTTAACCACACTTTTAAATTAACATGTGATATATTTATTTTTTATGTCACTTTTTAATTAAGTGTCATTATATATATTTTTTTAATCACACTTTCTAATTAAGTGTGATTATATATAAAAAAATATATAAATGTGATTATATATATATATATATATTTTTTTTTAAATATTTTACTTTTTAGGTATATTTAGATTAGGTGTATCTAAAAATTAAAAAACTTGCTTAAAATATTTAAAAAATTCATTAAAAACAAAAAATTATGTTATACACGAAGACAATTTAAGAGGGGGAGTGAATTGGGTTATTAAAAAATTTGATCAGAAATTAGATTTCAAATGACTAAGTGATTAAATGCAGCAGACATACAATGAATAAACATAAAATAAAAGAAAAGCAAAGAAGAGCTCAACACAATGATTTATAGTGGTTCGGCTCACCGGCCTACGTCCACTCTTCAAGAGACCTCTTTGATAATTTTTTCACTAAGAATTAATGCACTACTAAGTTTCACCTAACTTGTGGATTTTTACAAAGGACTTATTTCAATCTGTTGATGATCTCCAAATGCCTCACTTTACAAAGTTTTACTAAGAAAATAAGGAACAAGAATAAGAGGTATAACTATCATCTTTTATAAATATTCTCTGTCAAAAGTTGGATATGAAAATGTAAGCACAGAGATAATTTAAAACACTCTCAGATGTGAAAATGGAAGTGCAATGAAGTATCAAAGCTATTGAATGCTTTGGGTTTGTTATATGAGAAGAAGTGTATTCATTAAAGGAGGAGAGCTTCATTTTTATAACGTTAATGGCTTCTAGCTGTTGGAGAGAGGAGATTTGAATCTTCTAGTCGTTGAAGCAAATCAATGAGGATATCTTCCAGTTGTGTTTGATCAGATCATGGTGTATACAGAATTTTGGTACCCATTTATTTCATTTTAATTTACTTAATTTATTCGTTGCGCTACTCCTATAGAAATTTTATAATTATTTTATTTTTATCTTATTGCGACGTTAAACCTTTGGATACGGAGTTTAGGTTGTGACAAAGGTCTTGGGAAGAGAATGATCATTAAATGCACAAGATTTTCATTTAATGCTCTTCTTCATAGGTCAACTCTTGATAAAAGATATGGTGACAGAAAAATCTGCTTAGAGATCAGAGATGATGTCATATTCTGCACATAGATCAGAAAAAGTGGCTTAGAAATGATCAGTGTCAGTTTAGATCTAATTTGGCAAGTGGGTTTTTTTAAAGGGTCCAGCTTGTCTCAAGTTGAGATCAAGACTGGACCCGTCCAGTTCGGTCCATGGGGCCTATTTTTTGGGCCTGTTTTGATAATCCGAACCGTTTCAATGTGTAGAACTCGTCGAGTACTACACGCCTGTAAAAAATCACGTTGATCGGATATCAATAGTTATGTGATCAAATCAGTTTTGTATAAAAAAAACGGACGGCGAAACAATTAATGGTTGATAAAAAACTGTTTTGTTCACATAACTATCGATATCCGATCAACGTGATTTTTTACAAGCATATAGTACTCGACGAGTTCTACACATTGAATGGTTCGGATTATCAAAACGGGACCCGTGGTGGGCCCCCACGAGCCCAACAGCACGGTCCAGTCCGATCTTGGACTGGACCAAAGCCACTGCCTTTTTTAAACCCAAATTTACAAATGTCGACCCCTATAAATTGGGTGTTGACCATTTGCTCTCTTCTCTTTTCTAAGTTGAGTTCCAGGTGTTCTTGGTGTCGACCCTTATCATTCTTGGTGTCGACCCTTGTTGCTGGATTGCATTCTGAAATTTAGTGTCGACCCTTGTTATTCTTGGTGTCAACCCTTGTTGCTGGATTGTACACTGAAACTTAGTGTTGACCCTTACTGTTCTTGGTGTTGACCCTTGCTGCTGGATTGCACAATGAAATTTAGCATCGACCCTTGCTGTTCTAGGTGTCAACCCTTGCTTTTGGAACACTTAGACATTTTGAACTTTACTCTGGTACCGACCCTTGCTATTTTGGTGTTGACCCTTGGACCTGTTTCAAGCATAAATAGAATTTTGCATACAAATGCTAATCTCATGGTTTGAGGGGCTAAAAACCACTGAGAAACAACACTTTAGAATCATATATCTTCTAGAACCATTGAAGCACAATTTGTATACTATTACTTTGGAAACTTTGAATAATAAAATGAATTCTAGATATTTGTCAATAATCAAAATCAATAAGAATTTAAATTTTGAATAACCTTGGGGTTAACAATCTCCCCATTTTTGATGATGACAAATATTTAAAGTTTTCAAAGTATGAGTTTCAAAAAGAAGGCATTAAGAAGTGTTTTTCACGGAGTTTTGTAAATAAATGATTTGAAAAATGAGATAAAAAACTCCCCCTATAAAAAGGGCTTCAAGAACAAAACAAGGATAATGAGAAATATTTTTTTATATAAATATCAAGGCAATAAAACAACTTGATATAGAACAAGCTCCCCCTGTCAATATGTACTGAGACAATCATTAGTAAAAACAATTTCTTCCGTTTATTTTTATTGAATGAAATCACAAGCATTTTAAAACAAAAATGATTTCCATAACTCTCTAAGTGTGTGTGTTGTTGATAGACATTCACAACCAACACTAAAGAACCAAATATCAACATGTTTTATATCATTCAAGGAGAATTCATCAAGATTCATATATATATATATATATATATAAAGAGGTTTTCATAATTTATCTAAATTTCCAAAACATATACTTTCCAATTCCAAAACATATACTTCCCAATTTGTATTTCCCAAATGTTTGTACCCAAAAAGTGTTTTTACCAAGGCATCTATATATATATCTATCATCCCAGAGTTAACAGTTAACAATTAACAGCTATCTAACTACAATTAGAATAATCAAGATTCATATATATAAAGAGATTTTCATAATGTATCTAAATTTCCAAAACATATACTTTCCAATTTGCGTTTCCCAAATGTTTGTACCCAAAAAGTGTTTTTACCAAGGCATCCATATGCATCTATCTGTAAGATCCTGAAAGCTTTTATGTATATTCAATTGTGTATGTTTACAAAGAGTGCATCAGTTATATAGCTCTAATCTATGATAGAAAAAGGAAATACAAAGAAAAGGTAATTGCCTAATTCCTAATATACCATATATACAATATATATTCTCACACCCCCGCTCAAACTCAAGGTGTTTTAGTAGAAAATACTGAGAGTTTGCTAAGAAGAAACTGAAACCGAGCAGTAGTGTGAGTCTTGGTGAAAAACTCCGCAAATTGCAAAGTCGAGGAGACAAAAGGAAGCGAGATAGAGCCAGACTACAGATGCTGTCGTACAAAGTGACAATCAATCTCATTATGTTTCGTCCGTTCATGGAAGACAGTATTGTGGGCAATTTGAATAGCACTGCGGTTGTCACAATAGAGGGAGGTCGGAGAAGACTGAGGTACACCCAAATCAGAGAGAAGACAACGGAGCTAAACAAGCTTAGTAGTAACATGAACCATAACATGGTACTCGACTTCGGCAGTAGAGCGAGCAACAACAGTTTGTTTCTTGCTTTTCCAAGAGATCAAGGAATTGCCAAGAAACATACAAAAACCAGAGGTGGACTTGAGATCAGTAATATCACCAGTCCAATTAGGATCAGCATAGGCTACCAAGTCTAAAGAGGAAGTAGACGACAACAGCAAGTCCTGAAAGATGGTACCTGGAGATAGCAAAGAATGCGAACCAAAGCATCCCAATGGGTAGAGCGAGGAGCAGAAACGAAATGACTAACCACATGAACAACATAAGCAAGATCAGGGCAAGTGACCGTCAAATAAACTAAACAACCCACTAGCTCACGATAGACCGTGGGATTATCCAGAAGGACACCATTAGTAGAGTTGAACTTCACATTAAGCTCAATAGGTGTATTGGAAACCTTAGTATCAGTAAGACCAGCATGGTGAATAACCTCATTAGCACACTTGGCCTGAGATAAAAAATAGCCCTTTGGAGAAGAGGAAACGTCAATACCAAGAAAATACCACAATGGACCCAGATCCTTCATTACGAAGGTGCGGAAGAGATGTTGCTTGACTTCAGAGATAGTAAAAGAGTCAGAGCCAGTGATGATCATATCATCCACATAGAGTAGGAGAGCAACAAAACCAGCCGAGGTATATTTCAGAAACGAAGCAGAGTCAGAAGTAGAATGGTGAAACCTAAGTTCGGTAATGGCAGTCTGAAAGCGATTATACCAAGTACGAGAAGACTACTTTAAACCATATAGAGTATGCCGAAGACGACAAACCTGCACAGAGAAGTGGAGAAGACCAGGGGGAGGAAGCATGTAGACCTTCTTAGTGAGATAATCGTTAAGAAAAGCATTCTTAAAGTCCATTTGATAAAGAGGCCAATGTCAAACAACAACAACAGAAATCAAGGTATGGACAGTAGTCATCTTGGCAACAGGGGCAAAGGTCTCCTCATAATCAATACCACCCTTGGCAACCAAGCGAGCTTTGTAGCGCTCGAGAGAACCATCAAAATGAGTCTTGACTTCATAGACCCATTTGTAACCAACCAGATTCTTGCCAACAGGCAAATGATCCAACTTCCAAGTGTTAGTCTTCTGTAAGGCAAACAACTCATCCTCCATAGCTTGAACCCAATTAGGATCCTAGCAGGCCTCTGTATAAGATTGTGGTTCTAAAAAAGAATGAATAACAGACAAAAAAGTATGATAGGCAGCAGAAAAACATGTATTAGACCAACCCAACCTGTTTGGAGGACGACACTCATAAGTAGGATATTGGTGTGTAGCAGGATCAGAGTCATCAGAAGTAGAATGAGCAACAACAGGAGTAAAGACAATTGGTGGTGGGGGAGCCTGACGACGAGAATAGACCAACAATGGAGGGAAAAAAGAAGCTAAAGGAGAAGAAGGAGCCATAAGTGACGTAGACGGAGAAGTAGGAATGGGTTCAAGAGGAACAATGAAGATGTACTCATCAGACGAAATGTAATAACCCCGATCCGTAATTAGCTACTAATCCGTAATTAATGATGTTAATGAGAGAGTTAAAATAACTTATGGGTTCATTATGTGATTTGCATGATATTTGGCTTACTATCTGTTACTTGTAGAAATATCTGTTTAGAATTCCACTTTAATATGTAAATTGAAAGCCTCATCGGTATCTGAAACCGGAATTGTTTACATTAATATGTTATTTGGAATTTTTAGAATGCTATGGCGAATTTTATTAAAAATTGATTCAGTTCAGTGGAAATCACGTGTGATTAAATTGAACCTTGATGGGAACTATTTTGGATTAATTGAATTTCGGTCTAACCTGAATAAATTAAGGTTACTTATGTGTGATTAAATAATGCAAGATTGGTGCCTAATCTAAACCTATTAGTGATCCAAGATGTGATTGAGTGTATAATGTGTTGAGGCATTTTGTGGTATTGAGTGTAGGGGATTAAAACCCTTGTGTGTGTGTGTTGGAAGTGTGCATGTGTGTGCATGTGTATTGTGCTCAATGTAAGGGTGTGTGAGTGTTATGTATATCTGCTGAATATGAGGGAGTGTAGGCAATATTCCTCTTGTATTTTCTACTTCTTTGAGCAGAGAGTTCACCTTAGAGAGAGAGAGAGAGGGATGACTCACTCTAGAGAGAGAAAGCTCTACATTTGTGTGGTTTGAAGGAGAAAAAGAGAGCTAAGGGAAGTCCATCTCTTATTGTTTGAAATCAAAGCTCTAAGTAAGAGTCTTGAGCATATCTTCTGCAGCTAACTTCCATGCATCATGATTTCAACTCATCTTTGAGCCAATTTCATAAAATTAACAAGAGAAGTGGGTCTTTAAGGTTGTAGATGACTTGCATGTGCATTCTTGGCGATTAATCTTTGGTTCCATTGTTTTGAGTTTGAGTTTTGAAGTCATTGCCAGCATGTGAGTTCATATATTGCATAACGTTTTGGAAATTCATGGTTTCATACCAACCATTTGCATGTTTGAAGAAATCAAGAAAATATTTGAAAATCTTTCATGCATGAGCTTTGGAGTTCAAATTTACTAAATCCATGAGTTTTGAGCTAAATGTTTGAGAGTGATCATGTAATTGTGTTTTAGAAAGGCCTTCCAAGTGTTTTGATCAAGCTTTGCATGAGTATAGCCATTAAAATCACATTTTGAAGCTCAAACCCTGTTTTGAAAAACCCAGAATTTTACAGTCCGCTTGAGCGAGGAAACCTGTGCTCGAGCGGAGATTACGAGCTTTCAGTATTTTTTTTCAGACTTGAGCTCTCCGCTCGAGCGACCACTTGGACGCTCGAGCGAACCCTTTGCATGTTGTCGATACGCTCGAGCGTGGGAGTTGTAGCTCGAGCGTGGATTTCAACCAACCAGTACTTTTTCCAAGTTGCAAGTCGCTCGAGCGTAGGAAGTCACGCTCGAGCGTCCCCTCTCATTTTGCAATGTCCGCTCGAGCGAGAAAAGCTACGCTCGAGTGTGGACCTTATTTTCAGAAATTTTGCCTAAGTGTTCTAAGGCATGTTTTGGCATCCTCATTACATCTTAGGCATTCTTAAGCCTTTATTAAGCTATAGTAATGAGGTTATGGATTAGAAACACACTAAGGTATGAATGTACTACGTTAAGGGAATGCAAGTAGGTGTGTTTTAATCGATGAGCTAAGAATTAACAAGAACCAACGTAATGTAAGCTAAGCCGTGTTGGCCACATGAATGTGTAATGATAAGACATGCTTGTGTTATGTATTTTGTGATTGTAAGTCAAGACTTGAGAATTGATTGACCGCTTACTGGAACCACTGTAAGTAACGTTATCGTAAAGATACGTTTATATGAAATTATGTTCCAAATGAAATGTGATAATCTATGATTTCTGAAATGATATCTGTTTTCGTGAACGAATATTCCATGTTTGAAATCTATTATGGCATCCATAGATAGTCCCAAGTCATGGGGGACGGCATGAAAATGCGGGTCCATGACATACAAGTAATTACGAGATCTCATTAGCCACTTCACTATGGTGATATGTGTTTAATCGGTATCTGGAACCGATTACTCTAGTCGGAAGACGTTCTGTGATGTGTTCTATGGGATGTACCATTATTATGTTCTGATATGAGAATGATTATGCTATGATTTGTTTTCTGTTCATGATATGTTTGGATTTCGTTCACTAACCCCTTTACCTTAATGTTATTCATTGGGCTTTAGCTCACTGTTTGTATATATATATATATATATATATATATATGTATAGGTGAGCATTCTGGAGTTCAAGTTTGGAGACTTTTGTCTGGATCTGTGTTCTGTTGTCAGCCAGCCATTGTACACGGTTCCCGAAATGTCTTGTGTTCAAGTTCTGTTGGTTCTGTGTATACATATGACTTGATGTAATTCTGTTGGCTGTACTTCAGATTCTTTAATGTGTGTGGGTATAATGTATGATTGACTTTTGACTATGTATATAACATTTTAAATATTCTGTTTCATATAAGTCAGCACAACTCATTGGACAACTATATTTATGTATTTGCTTTCGCTAGCTCCTTATTATTTGCTTTGGTAATCCAATGATTACTGGCCGGTTACGATGCTAAACCTATAGGGGCGGGTTTGGGTCATGACACGAAACCTCAGAAGGAAAATGGGTCAATGTAAACTAAATCCTCTTTGGAAACTGGAGTAGTGAGAGGGGGAAGCTGAAAGTAAGACAGACGTTCGAGAAATGCAACATGATGGGAGACATAAAGGCGACAAGAGATAGGATCGTAATAGCAGTAACCTTTCTAAGTAAGACTGTAACCCAAAAAGACATAGAGGACAGACCGGGCACTAAGTTTGGTCCTATCTTTACGGAAAAGAAAGACAAAATAAGCAGACCCAAACATATAAAAATGGAGTAGTTAGGAATTTGGGAGAACAAAGCCTCATAAGAAGACTGACCAGAAAGAATAGAAGTAGGCATGTGGTTGAGAAGAAAAGCAGCAGTAAGAACTGCCTCTCTCCAGAATAGAGCCGGAACTAAGGCAGAGAGAAGAAGAAACTTAGCTGTCTCAAGGAGATGACGATGTTTATGTTCGGCTTGACCATTTTGGGCATGTGTATCTGTACAGGAAGTTTGATGAATGGTACCCCATTTGGCCAAATACTCACAATACTCATTTTTAAAATATTCCCCACCCAAGTCAGACCGTAATACTTTAATGGTAGACCCAAACTGAGTAGTAATCATAGACTGAAAGGTACGGTATATTGGATAGAAATCGGACTTATGAGTCATAAGATAAACCCAAGTGTAACGGGTGTAATCATCAATAAATGACACATAGGAAAAGGGCCCCAAACATCAGTATAAATTAAAGAAAACAGTGTAGCAGATATAGAAGTATTGTTATGGAAAGGTAAGGCTGTCATTTTGGCAAGTTTACACACTCGATACTCGATAAGTTGACTAGGAGAAACTTTACCCAATATACCTGACTGAGCTAAAGACCGTAAGCGGTCAGTAGACAAATGCCCTAATCTGGAATGTCACAAATAGAAAGAACTGGACAGAGAATCTAACTGAAAAGAATAAAAGGTAGTCAGAGAGGTAGTCATAGGCAGATGGAAGCTCTCCACCACATAGACGTGTCAAACTCTACGGTCAATCCCAATTTGCTGCTTGGACATTTGATCCTCTGCAGAACAGATAGAAGAAGAAAAGATAATATCAAAGCCAGAGGCATCAAGTTGACTAATATATAATAAACTGACAGATAACTGAGGAACATATAAGACAGATGTAATAGAGACTGCAGACATAGCAGACGGTGGGACAGACCCAACAGATATAATTGATATACTAGACCCATTAGCAGTATTAACAGTAATAGGAAAGGGAGGGGAGTACAATTATAAAGTAAAGAGAGATGATAAGTCATATGATGAGAGGCACCAAAGTCAAAAGGCCAGACAGACGAAGAGATACCTGAAGAAAACCCAAACAAATCAGAATGAAGAGATGAAACAACGGAGGCAGATGAAGATGGCTGAGAGGTAGATAATATATGCTGAAGTTGACTAATCTGAGTAGTCAAGGAAGCCAAGTCAGGATCAGGAGCAAGAGTAGATATAGTAGAATCGACGGAAGGCTGAACGGTACTCAGAGGAGGAGCACAGAACTTGATTGGAAATTGCTGAGACGACGAGGCAGACACAGGCAAAACAGACAAACATCATTTTTGGGGACAATGATACTTCCAATGACCTCTCTGATGGCAGAAGGCACACTCATCTGAAGCCAATGGCCCTTTCTTGAACTTTGTAGAAGGTTAAAGCTGATGGGTATCCGATATCGGAATGAACCAAAACAAAAAAGATAACTGATGGAGCAAAGTGTGATAAACAAAGGCTAGATGAGCCAAACTATAATAAATCCAAACTTTAATAAGCCAAAATTGTACTAGATGTGATCAAACCAACCACGAAGTAATACAGAACTCTAGATGAGAGAGACCCAAGTCGAATAAGAGACTGAAACTAAGAACCTAAAGCCGAAGTCGAGGAAGAGAGGCCTCTAGAGAGAGAGAGACCTTCGTGAGATAGCTGCGAATCAGACAGAGATCGCGAGAAAGAGAGAGACAGAGAGTAGATCTCGCGAAACCAGATGGAGACGACCAGGATTTTCGCGAATCAGATGGTTATGGTTAATGACTCGAACTCAGATGGGTCACGATGAACACAAATGGGTCGACCATCGGAGAACTCAATCGAGTCCAAAACCAGAATCAGAACCAGAACTCAACCTCGTGAGCCAAAAGTTGAGTCCGACGAGCCAGAAAGGGGCTTGTTCAATATCGAATTAAATGAGTTTTGAACCAGGTGGGATGGGTCGCGATTCTGGTGCTCAAGGGGTTGCGATTTCAA